TGGGGTCTGAGTGGAGAAGGTCTGAGAGAGTCAGGGACCCCTGAAAACATCCAGATGAACAGAATCTAATTTTAGGATTTCCTCACCTGGATGATTGCGCGTGCATCGAGACATCAGGGAGGACCTGACATACAAACACACCGCTGAGGTAGTGAAGCAGCTCCGAATAAGACCCGACTCTCAGAGAGAATCACACCCTGACTCACTGCTGGAGTCCTTTCATCACTGCTCAGCTTTTCAGAGACCCCACAGTTCCCACAGTTCCCACAGAGCAGTCACGTTTGGGACTTTGTCCCCTTGATAATAAACACCTTCACTTAGAAACTGCATTTTGTGTTTAATGGCGTTATCTTTGACTAACATTTAATTTGTTTGATGATCTGAAACATTTAAGTGAAAAATATGAAATGATGACGGGACAAAGACTTTCCCTCCCTCCCACTGTGTATGTGAACTCAGTGTAGGAGGAAGGAGGAGGAACACTCACCTGTCTGATGGTCCGGGCCACCAGACTCTCAAGAACTGGGCCTCGATCTTCATGCAATAGATGGACTTCATCCAAGATGAGCAGCCGTACGATCTGTGACAGAGCCACATCTCCAACACTCTTCCTGGTCACAACGTCCCACTTCTCCGGAGTGGTCACCAACATCTGAAAATAGGACACGTTCCTCTATAGATGATCATGCATTTCCCCTTCAAGAACTTGTTCTATGATAAAATGTTTCTGCAGTAAAACGAAAGGAACTGAACATCAGCAAACCTGAGAAACTAAACAAAGAATCAAACATGACACGAGCCACTGCTGCCCTGCAGGCGGACTCATCGTGCATGTGGTGCATTTGTCTGTGATGTGTATGACAAACATCGTCCTTTAGGGAAAATCACTGAAACGCATCACAGCTCGGATCACGACGGGGATAGATAAATAATAAAAAAAATAATCTATATAAGAGATTTATTAAAGTCATATAAAAATAGATTAGTAAATATAAGAAAGAACACTACCACACATTATTGGAGCAAAGCAGGAGTGGATCACAACAAACATGGAGGTTATTAAATCGTATAATCAAAAAGGGCTCGAAGAACAAGACTCATCCAGAACATTTTAGAAAAGATGAAGATTGTGCTTCATAAAATTAAACACACTGCAAATAAACTGAATGATTTCTTTGGACATGTTGGCTTTAATGCAGCACAAGAAATTCAAGAGTTAAGAAATAATAATGAACTAAATAAACACATCACTCAGTTTGTTGTTGCTGTGAGTCACAGAGGAATACTTGATGTTCTCAAAACAACATTAAAAAAGTCCACTGATTGTTTCAGTATTGACGTGATTTTAGTTTAAAGTATTATAGAACAGTGCAAACGTTTACATACACGTGTAACCTGGTACGTTTCCCTCCATCCATAAAAACAGAGAGGGTTAGGGTTACCCACAACAACTACAGATCAATAACTCCCACAGTTCTCAGAACTGGGGCGATCGTGGCTCAAGAGTTGGG